AAAAAAAAAAAAAAAAAAAAACGGTTTCAAAAGGGGAGGGGCTGTAAGAACAGGGAGTAGGTACTAAGATCACATGCTTCAAAGAGCAAATAGCAGAACTACTGATAAGGATCTATGTTCAGCAGTGCACGTATTGTCTTGATAAACATCTTAAACAACAGAAAACACGGTTTGAGAGCAGAGAATCCATCTGGCCACAAATTTACCAAGGTGTGGTTTTTCTCCATCCTGATAAGCCTGAGGGTACTGCAGGAGACCAGGGCATATCTCAGTCCTTATCTCAACCGCCTAGGACAGACATTCCCACAGCAGCCATTTATAGACCTCCCCCAAGGAACACATTCCTTTCCCAGGGTATTAATGTTAATATTCCTTGCTAGCAAAAGAATTTAGTGATGTCTCTCCTACTTGCACGTTGTTTATAGGCTCTCTGCAAGAAGAAAAATATGGCTCTTTTTGCCTGACCCTGCAGGCAGTCGGACCTTATGATTGTCTTCCCTTGTTCCCTAAAAATCGCTGTTATTCTGTTCTTTTTCAGGGTGCACTGATTTCATATTGTTCAAACATACATGTTTTATAATTAATTTGTACAGTTAACACAATTGTTACAGTGGTCCTGAGGTGATGTACATCCTCAACTTACGAAGATAACAAAATTAAGAGATTACAGGCATAAGAAATTACAGAAGTATTATTTGGGAACTGATAAATGTTCATATTAAAATGAAATCCTCACAATTTATGTTCCTCTGCCGCAGCTCCAGCTGGTCCCTCCGTTTGGGGTCCCTGACTTCCCGCAACAGAAAAAGAACTTGTTTCACTTTATTATGATAACAGGCTCACTATACAAGCTACTAATTCTCCCCACAGCTGTCCAGACTTGGCCTTTCTGCAACATGCTGTTTACAAATGTGTACACTGATTCACCATCCTCTCTGTGGATAAATGTATGAGTCCTCCTAGGATCTGCCCGTTTGTGCATTAGCTGACAATTATTAGGTTGATGCAAAAGTAATTGCTGTTTTTGCCATTATTTTAATGGCAAATTAATACTTGGCCTGCAGAGTACACAAACTAGATCTTAATCCAAAATATCTTTTGAGACATTCTCTTAAAAAAAAAAAAAAGGCAAAAATTGGCCAAAGGCAAACAAACAAAGATAACAACAACAACAACAAAACCCAATGGTATGATCCTAAACTTAAGTTGACTCAAAATCAGTGCCCCAAATTGGACTCATCACCCCCTTTCCTCAAATTTGCTGTCATCTCTGTCTGACATGTGGCAGCGTGATCTTGCCAGCTACCAAAACTAGAAAGCAAAGATGTCGGATGTGTCTCCTCCCCATTCTTCCTTATCTACTCACCAAGTCTTACTGATTTTACCTCCTAAACATTTTTTCTACTAGTGCCACAATTCAAGTTTGTGTCATCTATTACCTGAATCACTGTAACTGCCTCTCAGTTTTTTTCTTCCTCCAGTGTTGACCCCTAAAATCCAGCCTCCATACATCAGCCAGAATAATCAATATGACACATAAGCCTGACTGTATAATTTAATCAGTGGTTCCCCATTCACTTTTTGATAAATCTTAATATGTATGACATGTGGGATCTTAATCTGAACTTCTGCTGGCCTTGAACTTTATGATCCATCCAACAACAATGATCCTTCTAGTGGTTTCCACATGACCAGTCTCCTCTGTGTCATTGCCCACACCCTGCCTGATGTGTCCTTTCACCCTGAGGAAAGTAAGTGAAAGGGCATGGCAAACCACTGCTAGAATTGTATTGTGTGCCCCTCTGTGTTCCCATAACTCCCTGTATCGAACTCTGCTGTGATACTCATCACAATGTATTAGGTTGAAACTGCCAATATTGAATCCTTTATTATCAAAACAATAACAGTATTATGTGGTCCCACTTAACTATGATACTTACGTTTCTTTCTACTACCCCAAGGGGAACTCCTCGGGGTCAGGACTCTACCTCATTCATTTCTGTGTCAAGGTTTTTCTAAGCTCAGTGAATATGACTTTCACATTAAAATGCTAAAAGAACGAATGGTTAATGAACTGTAGTTAACTCATTATTTATTTTGCAGCCAGTAAACCAACATCCATGAATAGTTTTTAATGACATGGAGAAAAGCTTAATCTTATATTTTTTTAAAAACCTGATATGGAACACACAGAGATACCGACATTCACAAAGTATTTAAAGTTCATAAATGTAAAAACTAGTATTTTAAGATTTTTATCTTCTTTTACGAAGCTTGCTTTAAATTCAGTTCCAAATGAAAGAAGCTAGTCAAAATACTAAAAGCAAAATGTGCCTGTATACCTGCCAAAAATGTGTTGTTACAATCTTCCCAATTCAAATGGAAAGAATCTCACTACTTTTTAAAAATTATTTTTAATTATTTTCAGCTGTCGATACAATATACTCATATCAATTATTACCTTGCCCTCTTTGTTGCTTTTTCTAGCATGGACTGGAGGAAACAGCCGCCAAATGCAAGGGACTGGGTGCCAAGGTTTATACCTTTGTGGTAGACTGCAGCAACCGAGAAGATATTTACAGCTCTGCAAAGAAGGTGAAATGTTGTGTTTAGTTAGAATCATATCATGTTAGAGCTAGGAGGTGTTTTGGAAATGATCCAGTCTGTACATGATATAGCTGAAGTAACTGAGAAATGTTATTTGACCAAGGTTATAGAACTAGCTCATAGCAAACCCAAAACTAGAACTGAGAGCTGAAGTTCTCAAATATTAGTATGTTCTGGAATTTTCCAGGGAGTTGTTAAAAAAATATACACTCTTGGGCTCCACTTCCAGAGGTTTTCTTTCAGTAGTTTGAGGGCAGGGCCTCAAATGCACCCTATCCACCCTGCATCCCATGCACCTTCACCTCACCCATGATTCTCATATAGGTAACTATCCTTGGATGACACTTGCAGAATCGCTGACAGGATCTTTTGAAGCCCATTCATAGAATTGAGTTAGAAAGTTACAATAAAGCTATTCTTTATCAGGTTTTTAGTGTAGATAGATCTATTTCTTTTCTTTTCTCTTCTTTTTTTTTTTTTGAGATGGGGGTCTCACTTTGTCACCCAGGTTGGAGGGCAGTGGCATGATCTCGTTTCATTGCAACCTCCACCTCCCAGAATCAAGCAATCCTCCCACCTCAGCCTCCCAAGTAGCGGGGACCATGGGTGTGTGCCACCACGCCCAGCTAATATTTTGTATTTTTGGTAGAAAACGGAGGTTCACCATGTTGCCTAGGCTGATCTCGAACTCCTGAGCTCAGGGGATCCACCCACCACAGCCTCCCAAAGTGCTGGGATTATAGGCGTGAGCCACGCTCCCAGCAGATCTATTTCTATAAAGCATTATTTGCCTCTTCTAGATACAATTGAGAGGTGCTATATATAATGGGGTTTCACTCTGAACGCATTGTCACTTGTACTTGTTAACTAAATACCTTAATGGGAGCAAGGTCATCAGAATTACCTGGGCTGATTCCTTAAAATACACATTCCTGGACCTTACCCCTGGATATTCCAATTCAGTGCAGTACAAAGAGTCTGATTCAGCCAGACGTGAGAACCTCTTTGTTTATGGAATTTTAGATTTGAGTTCTTTTTTTTTTGAAATGGAGTCTCGCTCTGTCGCCCAGGCTGGAGTGCGGTGGCGTGATCCCAGCTCACTTGAAGCTCTGCCTCGCGGGTTCACAAGAAATTCTCCTGCCTCAGTCTCCCGAGTAGCTGTGATTACAGGCACATGCCATCATGCCCAGCTAATTTTTGTGTTTTTGTAAAGATGGGGTTTCACTATGTTGGCCAGGCTGGTCTGGTCTTGAACTCCTGACCTCAAGTGATCCACCCTCTGGCTTCCCAAAGTGCTGGGATTACAGGCATGAGCCCACCACACCTGGCCTGAGTTCTTTTTCTTTTTTTTTTCTTTTTTTTTTTTTTAGACAGAGTCTAGCTCTAGCTCTGTTGCCCAGGCTGGAGTGCAATGGCTCAATCTCAGCTCACTGCAAGCTCCATTTCCCGGATTCACCCCATTCTCCTGCCTCAGCCTCCCGAGTAGCTGGAATTACAGGCGCCCATCACCATTCCTGGCTAATTTTTTTGTATTTTTAGTAGAGATGGGATTTCACCGTGTTAACCAGGATGGTCTTGATCTCCTGACCTTGTGACCCACCCGCCTTGGCCTCCAAAAGTGCTGGGATTACAGGTGTGAGCCACTGTACCTGGCCCATTTTCAGGTATTTTGAAGTAGCTATTTTGATGTGGCCATTTTAGTATCAGAACTTTTTTTCTTTTGGAGACAGTCTTGCTCTCTTGCCCAGGGTGGAGTGTAGTGGTATAATCTTGGCTCACTGCAACCTCCTCCTCCTGGGTTCAAGCAATTCTCCTGCCTCAGCCTCTTGAGTAGCTGAGATTACAGGCGCCTGCCACAACGCATGGCTAATTATTGTATTTTTAGTAGAGAGGGGGTTTTACCGCCAGGCTGGTCTGGAACTTCTGACCTCAGGTGATCCACCCACCTTGGCCTCCCAAAGTGCTGGGATTACAGGCATGAGCCACTGCGCCCGGCCTATCAGAACATTTTTATGCCACCAAAAGAATTAAATTCTCAGCTTGCTTTCATTATTAAGAAATATACAAATCCCAGCGCTTTGGGAGGCCAAGGAGGGCAGGTCACCTGAAGTCAGGAGTCCAAGACCAACCTGGCCAACATGATGAAACCCTGTCTCTATAAAAATACAAAAATTAGCTGGGCATGATGGCGGGTGCCTGTAATCCCAGCTACTTTGGAGGTTGAGGTGGGAGAATCACTTAAACCTGGGGGACGGAGGTTGTAGTGAGCTGAGATCGCACCACTGCACTCCAGCCTGG